CCCCCAAAACCCCAAAACCCCTAAAATCTGAATTTATAGCGCATTGGAATAATCTAAAATTAAAATAACAAAATATCATTAAATCTCATAAATTTATCTTTCAATCAATTTATCATAATTGATTGGATCTAGATTGAATTGTTGTCCTAATTCATTAATAATCAACCATTGTCCAATTTCATCATAATAGTATTTATGAGGTATATTTTATGCAAATTTTCCAATTATTTCAGGTCCTTAGCATTTCTCTTGTATCTTAATTTAAGGAATCTTATTTCCATTAACCTCAGTAAAAATTATTTTCATTGAGTAGAAATGAAGATTTTTTGTCCTAGTTTTTTTGAATTACCTTTCTCCTAAAATTAGCATCTCCTGTTCAATATAATTTCCTTTAATCTATTCCTACATCTTTGGAACAATTAATGGCTTAATGAATTGATAGTTTACGTAAAAATCAACATAGATAAATTCTCTTTGACTTCCTTTAAGATCGTAATACTCAAAGCCACTTTGATTTCCAAACATAACAAATAAATGATCATTCAATACAAAAGCACTATGTTTTGATCTATTCTTTTAAAGATTGGGGAAGTGTGAATCAAGTTACAAGGTTACTCTATTAGTTTATGGATCAATTTCTAGGTTGAATTTAAATGTATACTTTGTTGCTTCTTAGTTTTTAACTTTTTCGCCCCCAGTAATTATTAGTTGATCCTAGTATACAGTTATTACAGAATTGAACGGAAAGTTTTTAAGAAGCTCAAAGACAACATGCTCAGTGTCAGTACTTCTTTCATATTCTAAAATCTCCCTACATCCTTTTCTGAGACCCATTACTAGATGCCTTAGCTCTAATTCTCCATTTTAGTTTCTTAATTCTATATTTATAAAAGCGAAGCCTTCTTTATTCTTCTCATTTAATTCATACCATTCAGAAAAAAATATTTCTTTCTTTTAGACTTCAAGTCTTTCCTTATTTAAGTGAATTAAATGCAGAGTGCTTTAGTCCTCAAAGTAGAACAAAGCTTTTCTTATTTCTTCCTCTGAGAGAGTCTCAAAAATTTACTATGTTTAGACTTCTAAACTACAAACTTAGTCTTATATAGGAATTCTGTTTTATCTTTGAATCCTTTCTATACTAAAAATTGGTTAAGGTGGCTCACTCTAATTTTATCTAAAATTTTAAAGATTTGTTAAATTTTTTTCGTGAAAATCTCTACTCTCTTAATTAATTGCATGATCACTTTCTAACGAGACTTATTCGTGAACTCTGTTTGCTTCCAGTTTAATTATGTTATTTATCTATTCCTATTAATTAAAATTCAATTTTTGTTGGCTAATTTAATCAGGAAATTATTATTATTAAATTTGAATTTAAAATATATTGCTATCGTTATTTTAATTGTTAGTTCTCTATTAAATTTTAATCATCTCTTATTATGGCGGTATACTATTTTCAGGATCCTAAAATTATGCTGGACTTCTTATATATCGATTAAAAGCATCGTTTTGTGCACTTTAATAGTAATAATTTAATGATAGCTATCTTGTTTAAGGACTAGGTTGCTAATATGACTTTTATTCTTCAAATTTGTCTTAATTCAAATCATTATCACTTTAGTTTTGTGCTTTTCTCTTTCCCAAACATTTCAAGCTTGAATTCTAATCTTCCGTATTTTATTTTTCATCTTATTTCACAATTTGAGGCGAATTTTGATTCATTTGTTTCTAACTTTATTCTCAATAGTATTAAGTCTAAATTTTAACTGACCAAAATATGATTAAAGCTAACTAGAGACTTCATTTTATACTTGAACAAGATACTTATCCAATGTTTTAGCTAAATAACCCTATTGTTTTAAATTTACTAAATATTATTATTGTAGTTTTAATATGGTATCTTTCTTCTATTCATCAGATGTATGTAAATCAATCAATGATATTTTCACACTCTTTTACTTTTTGAGCTATTATTTTTAGCATCTTTCAACTTAAATCATAAAATTTCTACACATATTTTTAAAAATAGTCTTCAATTCTTTATTTTTTTCTTCTATATATTACTATTACAAAAGTTATCTAAGATCCAATTCTACTTCAAGAGATTTAAGGATATTATTAAAACTCTGTATATCGCTTCTAAGGACAGAATCAGATTGCAATTCCTACAGTTTTAAAAAAGTGCGGGAATACTTAATATCCTTAATAGATTTAATACGGACATTATTTTATCGTTGATTATTTTGGCGTTTATCGGAAGGGCTATTAAATTATGGTGAAAATTGCCTGTTTCGATTAAGAATTATATTTTATCCAGCTATAAAGCTTTATTAGCTCGATATATCCTAAATGTTTCCATTAGTAGTACTATAATTCATTATGTTTTTGAATTATTATTTATAAAACTTTTAAATTTGCTAAGCGTCAATTCGGATATTTACAAACAGTATAGTAAATTAATTTTTAATAATTTCTTGTGATTCACTTGAATTTTAAGCATTTTATCATGGGGTTTTGGGGTTTTGGGG